AAGATCATTTGAGGCGAGAACATTCGATCTTAAGCTTCACTATATGGAACATTTAGTGATTTAGTGCGTAATTTAATAAAAAGTTAAAAGCTAACCGCAGCAGCTACGGCTAACGTCTCAAACCCCAGTTAGCATCAGCAGAAGGCCCGGTTCTGCTTCTGTTGGAGGTTCCTTCTTCTTAAAAGGGTGTTTTTCTCTCCACTGTCGCCACATCCATGCTTATTATAACAGATTTCTACAGAGTCAACAAAAAAAGGCAGCAATAGTCAGCTGTCTCTACTGCCATAAATCACCTCTTAAAGTGACCCGAAACGACCTGTTTGGTGCTAAAAACAAATTAAACTGAAATGAAGGATAGAGCTGATCCGTTTCTGTGTCCTCCAGGTTCCAGTGCTAAGATCCTGCAGAAGGCGATGGTCCGGATCATCAACCAAACGACGTGCAAGAATCTGCTGCAGGATGATGTCACAGACAGGATGCTGTGCGCCGGGATCCTGGACGGCGGCGTGGACGCCTGTCAGGTAAGGAGAACCGGAGCTCCTCTGCAGAGGAGGGTTTTTTTTTTTTCGTCAAAGATGACGACAATTAAATTATTTCGTTGATGCTCCTTTTTTCATGACGTTAACGAAAACTGACGAGCTAAATGTGGATCTTTGATGACTAAACCATGACGAGTCATGGGTTTGAGGTTCAGTTGACGAGACTAAATAAAAATTAGCGGGTCGTCTGTCAGACGTTTAAACTGCATCGGCGGGCTGTAATCAGCTAAGCAGCATCAGCAGAACTGCTGCCTCCTGGTTGGTCACGCCCACCTGGCGAGCAGCGGTGCTCATTCTGCATGACCACAGATGGATCATGGCAGCAGCGGCGGGTAATATCTATGCACTGAACTCTGATCTTCCTGCTGTTCTTTGCATGCGGCGAACCATCAGGGTCTGCGCTTAACTCTCAACTCTTTAATTATTATTATTTCCTGTTTAATTATTAATACAAATAGGTTAATAATTAAATTGGAAACGTGCAGCAACATGAATGGAGCGAGGCGTTACATTCACAGCTGTGATAATTTAACAGCCTGTTAAATACGGCAATCAACGTGTATCGGTCACATAGTCAGATCAAACGCCAGTAAAGATCTGGAGACATTTTTAATTATAATCTGTTACTTTAAACAGAATTTAACACTGAAATAAATTTTGTTTTTTATGCATCCATGTTATA